TATATATATATATATATATATACAGTGTTATATATATATATATACAATAATGTGTGTAGATGTTGTTGAAAAAAAAGATGTTGTGCGTGAGAAGAAAATGACCGCAACTTCATCATTTCGATATTTCATTGACAAACGCGACGCAACCAGCGCTATCTGCCGGCAAAAGTAACGCATTAATTACCTGCCGCTAGAATTCTATCAAGAGCTAATAATACCTAATTAAATCACACAAACGAAATGCGCGAGGGTCAGATGCCGATGACGTCACAGCGCTTCAGTCGGGACGGAAGCTAGTCATTATTACGAGAAGTCTGATAGAATCAACAGCTAATAATACCTTATATTAGGTATTATGAGTTTTTATTATTATTATTATTAATTACCGCATCTGTTATGCCATTCGCCTGATTGTCACCTCCTGCGTATTATGTTACACGATGCTCATATATCTGTCTAGTCCTCGTCAGATAGCTTCGCGATTAACCGCTCGCTATGTAGCCGGGACAGGAAGTGTAAATTCCTCTACCATTCAGACTTATGTATATGCGTGCTACCTGCAGGTAACGACGACACTCCATTTATCTCCCCGGCAGCTGCATACTCCATTCCCCTTCCTCCCCTTCATGGTCTTCCCCCTCTCCCGCAAGACAAATGACGTTATAATTGCAGTACACGACATCTTGAAAAATTCGTGCGCGCCGAGGCTGTGAAAAATGGCCGCTACAGGTCACGTGTCTAACAGCTGATTGGCGGGTTACGCGGGATGTAAATGGCTTGTCGCGCACCTGTTACATGAGCGCTGTAGCGCTGGTATCGTCGGGTCAATATCCTATACTGTCTATACACACACGCACGCGCGTGCACACAGATATGACGCATTCAAACTGATCAGAGAGAGGGAGAGAGAGAGCGAAAGACAGAGGGAGAAAGAAAGAGAGAAAGGGAGAGGAGGAGAGAAAGAGAAAGAGAGAGGGGGCGAGAAAGAGAAAGAGAGAGGGGGCCGCGGTCGCCCTCCGAGTGTTTGAGTTCTACTTTAACTGATTGTTCGAAAAGAGCAAAAACGGGTAAAAAAGTTATTCGCGAGGAATCAATAGTAATATATATATAGGCCCTATATATATATATATATATATATATATATATATATATATAATAATATATATATATAATATATATATATGTATAATAATGTTATGAATACTTATTATTATTATTATTATTATATAAGAATTACGGTATAATTATTAGTAAAAATCGTACTTTCAAGTCAATCATTACACTAAGTGTGTAAGCGAGAGAGAGCAAGAGAGATAGACAGACAAACAGACAGACAAACAAACACACAGATGGACAGATAACTACATACCTGTGCTGCCCATTGGTCTGATGGTGTACTCGTTCAGTGTGAAGCCCTTCTCTAGGGCTTCTGTCCTCATGTTCTTGTTGAACATATCGCTGCCGGTGAAGTAGAGGATGCCACAGAAGTACTGGTCGTGCGGTATCAACCTGAAGAGAGGGAGGGAGACTGTGAGAGGAGACGAAGGGGAGGAGGTGGTGGGAGGAGGGGGTTATTTTAGCAGGACTGGATGGAAAACACACATTTTTTCAACCATCCGGGAACAGGGGAATTACCGGTCATGTGGTATCAACCTAAAGCAAAGGAGATGTGGGAGGAGATAAAGGGAAGAGCTGGTTATTTCTGCAGAGAACCGGGAAGTGCTGGATGAATTCGGGAATGGGATTTATGGCTAAGAAACGGAAACGGCGGGCCCGCAGGAATGTCAGCAAAACATTTATCTCGACCTGCAATGACGTTCACCTCACGTTTTCCACTCGGAAGAAGAACTGAAAAACCACTGCGTCGCATCGCAGACCGCACGTAGTTCCACGGAGGCTGTGAGTATCATGTATGACAGCCGGGAGTAAAGCCTAGCGCAGACCTGCGACTTTGTCATGCAACTCGACAGCGATTCTAGAATCGTGTAAAAATTGCTGTGAAATCGCTACGTCTGCGGGAACGTGCAACTGCAACCCATAGCGATTCTGGTCGCTTGCGACGAGTTGCAAGAAATCAAACCGTTTCGATTTTGAGCGACTCGTCGCTCCCAATCGCTCCCAAATTGTTCTAGAATTGCTTCGAAATCGCATGTGTGCGCACACGCCGCGACACATCGGACACGTCGACCGATCGCTTGCAGTTGCAGGTTGCAGCGACGAGCAACCAAAAATCGCAGGTCTGCGCTAGGCGTAAGGGCCGCGTCGTCTGCCGCGCGTCCGTCGCTGACTCACCGGATGTCGAGGCGTCTGTGGAGGCGCGCCGCGTCCTCGCTCTCATCCCCCGTCCCCGGCACCTGGCAGACTCCCTGCGCGCGGACACACGAGAAAGAGAAGCAGACGTGAGAATACCGGAAACCGAAACGATAACAATTCGCATCTACGCGTCGACGCATCGATAGTTAAAGTCACTCTCGGTCACTCACACTGCCCGTTACGGCTCCCGTCCACCCCAGTGACCCCACCCACGTGCAGCGTTAACATTGCATGTCACTTACTGGCTCAGCATGGCGGTAACGAGTGAAGGATGTAAGCTTGCTGATAAGTTAGACTGTTGACTGTTAGATAGAGAGGGAGAGAAAGAGAGAGGAAGAGAGAGAGAGAGAGAGAGAGAGAGAGAGAGAGAGAGAGAGAGAGAAAGAGAGAGAGAGGGGGGAGGGGGAGAAGAAAAGAGAGAGGGAAGAAGGGAGGGAGGAAGGGATAGAGAGAGAGACGCACTTCAGCCGACGAGCACGACACGACAGTTGCGAACAAACTTACCATGAACTTCGTGTCGCCGAGCGAGATCGTTTCGGTGACGAACTCTGGCCCCTTCAACCTCTCGACGACCTTGACCAGCAGCTCCCCCTGGAAGGGAAAATCGAAAATCGGAAGTGAACAACGAGAGCTGATTCGTAAACCGCGCTTGTTTGTAAAAAGTCAACGCGGCAAACTGCACGGCAACTTGATCAACGCAGCGATCATGCTGCCATCTGTGGACGTCCATAGGCACTCACAGAAGATTACCAGAGATGGCGCACGACAGACAAAATTAATTCGCCGGCGCAGCTTACGTGCTTGGTCGTGGATTTGGACGTGTAGTCGGGATGGGTGAGCAGGCAGTCAATATCACCACTGGTTGCCACACCTGCAAACAACAAACAAACGTTCTTCGTGGGGGACCGTCTATGATGGCAGAGCTAACCGACCAACTCTAATTGAGTGACAGCAAGCGTACTTGCGGTGCTAGAATTGGTGCCCCGGAAGGAATAGCACTCAAGTATGTAACCTAATAGGTATGTAATCCTCTGTTTTCATACCATTTTGAATAAATTAGTCAAGAAATGTTATAAGGATACTACAACGATAAGTCACACACTTAGCATTATTGCAGCTTAATTCAAATAAAAAGTTAAAAAAAAAAAATGAATAAACAAATGCGTCAAAAAATGTATTATTAAATAAGTAAATAAATGAATGAAAGGCATGGCCGCTGCTCCTTACCTCTCCTGTAGCTACCGCAAACCGTCGCTATGTAACGATCGTCCAGATCTTCAATCTCTGACAACATGATTTCCTAACGGATCCGTGCATGAAAACAAAAGCTAAAGTTATTATTTGGAACTTCGCCAGATACGTACAGGACTCTTCTTCTTCTACTTCTCCAGTGGCTTCTCCCAGAGAGATGTCATCAAGCCCCGGAAAGACTGATTCCACATTCTGGATTCACGTCGAACATAGGGCCCTTAGCTACTGTGCTTCTTAGGTAACCGCAACAGGGAGCCTTGGTTGCATGCTTGTGGGTGAATTATTTGGGCCTTGAGCCGCCCTCCCAAGGTAGCAGTAGAGGGCCAGCTAATACAGTAAGCGTGCGACTATGCTCACAGGGATTGCGTTCGATGAATGTTCAGCGTCGATTGTCTAACGAACGAGGGTTGTTACCACTCACCTCCAGCTCCTCCATCTCATCTCTCGGAATCCGCTTCTCAAAGTCTTCAAAGTACCTGAAAAATGGGGGGGAATATTGTAGCAGAGTACGTGCATGAAGCTAGCAGTGAACACAAATACACACTACCTACAACGTTCTCCACATAGTAGAAATGCTGGGGATTCGGTTGGGAAAACATCACCGTATTATCGACATTTATAGATATAGGCCTTGGTAAGAATTTTCGCAAAAGCATTTGTAATTTTGACAAAAGTTAACCTGTAAAGGTATAAACAAACGGACAACCTAAGGATATCTCTGGTTTTTGTTGTCAGCCAGGCTCTACGCAGCATTAAGCTTACCAAGGATTCTCTGCAACTCTCATTTCGGTGTTACACACGAAACTTGACAAAATTTTGCCGCGCGTGCATGGAAATGGTAGTGCAGAATGTGATATACTTACTTCAATCCGATCTTCTGATGATGATTTAGCTTGTCCTCATTCTTCGTGAGTTCTGGAAATAAGACACAGGTTTTCGGTGAAATATAAACTTTGGCTACCGGAAATGCCACGAACAACAAATGCTTCACATGGGTGACTCTCTACGAATCACACATGGGGACATTGGTCTATATTCTGGGCAGCTTGACTGTGAATGCATGGATGCCATAATTGATTTCATGTTTATTACGTTATCAGATAACAGTTTTGGTGGCGTGCATACCTTCGATTGTCGTTATTCCATCGTCCACGAGTTTCTTCGCCATCGCAGGCCTAGCCGGAGAAATGAAAATATACAACCCGTGTTTTAACCGTGACGAGCACGCGAGGTCAAGTTGATACATCCTTCACCGATGTACCGTTGTTAAATTAATAGATGAATAAAATAAAATAATGAAAAAAGTGAATTGGATCAACATTGATTGGGATTGTGTTGCTTACCCGATTCCTGATACGCGTGTCATGAGGTTTATCGCTACACTAGTGTCGTCCGTGCGGATCTGCAAAACAATAGATACTCGTAAACTTCTGTACTCGACCAGCTGAGGCAACACAGAGTATTTCTCCACCTGGTTATAATCGGTTCGCCTGATTCTACGCTCCCAAATGCTAAAACAAACAACCCCTACGTACTCGCGCCGAAATCACACTTACATTAGTCTGGTGATTATCAGCCACATCCTACCTAATGAAACTAAAAGTAAATGAGAGGAATTCGACAGAGGTGTTCCTATTGCAAATTGCGAAATCCGGGCGCATTACGATGTAATCTACAATGCTCTCATGCCCAAGGAGCTAAATATAACAAGGAGAGGAAGCGGCGCCATATCTGGCCCAAATTTGGGTTCGGCAGAGACCCTAGAACAGATTAGTGTTCTATTGTCTCTGGGTTCGGTCTGCACAGCCATTTCAGCTGATTATGGTCCATAGATGGCGCCCTTGAGACAAAAAGCACACAGCCAATCCGCTTCCTCTCCTTGTTATATTGTTATATTTAGCTCCTTGCTCATGCCGAGTGAAAGAGCACTGCAAATGCTGTCCACCGCTTTGTAGCCATGCTAATATGTACTGCTCACACAACATATACCAACGTGGGTACGAACATACGTTTACACATATATGCCTATATACACTATATAGAAGCTATATATCCTCTACACACAAACCTTCTCCAGCTTTGCTAGTTTTCCCGTGGCCAACATTTCATCTATCTTCTTTCCTATCTTGTCCCCGACGCCGGACTACAATAGAAATGTAGAGACATTGTCATTTAAATGAGATGTAAATAGAGGACATGTTAACGACATAATTATACGACAAGACATATCCATCATTGTCATAAAGACCGAATGGACAATGAGCACAATTTCACGTTAACATATACATATACCCACAACGCACAACGATGACACGCGGCTTTAATTTTTCTACTATAACTATATATACTAAATTAAAAAATTCATAATTAAATTTAAAATTCAAATTATAAAATTAATTAGTCCGGAGAAGACTCGCCAGTTTCTTCGCGTCCTCGCCGCTGGCGATTCGCGTCGGGTGTTTGCCGATGACGCTTGCCGCCTTCCTGTACGCATTGTGCTTGTGGATGTTCCTCGTCACGTTCTTCTCGTGGTTCGCTAGCTCTGCGTTTCAGGAAAAATCGACAGAACACAGTGTCAGTACAGTAGTCTTTGGCATTTGTTTATTTTTTTACTGGCATGCTAATAATGGAGTATTACTATTAGTATTACTATTAGGCCAAAACAAAATATAGGTGTGGTTACGGTTTCCCGACCGCCCCTATTTATTCCCAGCGACCCTAAACATTTTATTGTCAATTTTCTTTAGTCAAAAAAAAAATAAAAAATAAAAAAAATATATGAATTGGACAGTTCCTGCTTCAAAAGGCACAACGCACATCCTTCGGACATGGTTCGTAAATAAAATATTTCAAGAAAATAAAATGTCTTCCCTAGGCCTACCTAGGGTCCCTATATACAGAGAGTTGCGCCATGACGAGTCGGAAAAAGTTGGTCACGTGGTCGCTGGACGACATGTTGTTTCCAAATAGATACGCACGGCTATGGCCGTAAGAAAGTGTACAATTAAACTATCATATGGCGCGAACGATTTGAGTTACATTTCTAGAAATCTAGATACACATAGACACATGCCTTAGCTATAATCTCTGAATAATTTTGAGTTTATTGAAGCACGATTAGTCTAATTAATTACTACGGACCATTGTACAGCGTATCCATACAGCGCTGTACTTAAGCGGCAGCGGTGTGGATCCATTTGGAAACAACATGGCGTCAAATCCTGAGTTGGCGCAACTCTCTGTATATAGAGTACGGAAGTGATGACGTCACGGTGGCATGACAACGAACCTACTGGTTCTACACAATCATATGCTCTGGTAACATTAACTGCGTGTCGTGTTTTGTACCCGATTGTAACCAGCATTCTGAGAGTCATTATTGCAGTTTTTATAGATTTCCAAAGGATGGAAGTGAAAAGCAACGAGAAAAAAAAAAAATTTAACAAAAAAAAAATTTAACAAAAAAAATTTTTTTTTCCACATTTTTTTTTTCTCCATTCATTCAATATTGTAAGAACGACTTGCTACCGATGCTTTACCGCTGTCTGCAGCGCACACACTCGTGTTTTACGTACGCACAACAGTTGACCCTATGGCTACACTGTGGAGCCAGTGGCTTGTGTAGAACTAGCTCTAGTACTATAGCCGCTTACATTAACTGCCGCTGGGCTATAGACCGACCCATGGGGCATGCAATGTACCAACGTACTCCAGCCAGTCAGCGGGAGCTATGTATTTCCGCATGTAGAGGGGTGGGCGGGTTGTGTTGGTTGTGGACAAAAACATTGTTGTTGTCAAGTAACAAATTAACAATAGTAATTTGTTCATC